CCTTTTCTCCTCTGGTCCTCTGGAGCCCTTTACTTCTTTTAACAAGCCACTATAAGCGACTCCCTATTTATTTGCTGTTTTAGCTCACTGAGTTTATACAACTCAGTGCCATTTCAAATAGTTAAGCAGTTTAGTGCCATACTTCTTTGGCACATTGTCTTTTTTTTCTTAAATACTCCCAAGCTAATGAATTGACAATTAATTAGAAATAGTTAATCTTTGCAATAGAATAAACACTGCATGTTTGTGTCTCCTGGGAAGCTCTGAAACTGATTTTTGCTAACCATTCTCACTACTTGGCAGCCTGTCAATGGAAATAAAAGTTCACTGAACAGATACCCAGACCATAATTTGTAACATGTTTTCTTTGAGCAGGATGCTTCTGCCCCCAACTGTCCTCCTTTTCCTTCACTGTTCTGAGGTTGCACTGTCTTTACGGATGCTAGTTCTGGGGGTCAAACACATTTTTTTGAACTCATGATTGCTTTTGTCCTGGTTTGTTGTGTGAACCCTAGTGCACCAGCTTAATGAAGCAAGAAGCAAAAAGGATGGAACATGTAGCAAAGAAGATTTTTTACCTACTAGTGGAATACTACTATATTTCCTACTGACTCCAAATTGAGGGAAGAAAAGACAATAAGAAGACAAGCAGACAGAAGAGAAAAGAACCCATCATTGATATGCCTATTTTGTGTGTGTTATAGGCAAAATAAACCTGGCTAAAATGATCTTTAAAAAGTGTAGTTCTCAAGAAACTATTACCATGATGCAGATGTAATTGTAAGTTATTCTTACCTGCTGAAGTTGGTTCCTCTTCAATGGAGGCTGTGCAAAAAGGCAGTGGGGACAGGGTGAAGGTTGGGATAGGAAAAGGGAAGGGAAGTGAAAGGAGAGAGAGAGAAATACAGATGAAGAAATCTACAGTCATTGTTATTTACATTTCCTTAAGAGACAAGCAATAAGACATCATGAAAAACTTTACATAATTTGATGAACTTGAGTAACAGATGCTCCATCTTACAGGATAATTGAGCTAAAATGAGTTAGGATCTTCACTTACGTTTACAATGTTACATTCCTAACCTTCCCCTCTAATTTAACTAGTAGGATAGGGCCAATACTACAATAACAATGATCAACAGAGGAGTTTCAGACAACTTCTCTGCAGTCAAATTCACAGCCAGAACTATCTGTTACAATAGTACAGAGGAGCTGTTCTGAAGGTAAAGCCTTCTAAAAATTCGAATGCTGGACCCAGTTATTTGGTTAACTAATGAAGGCTGCTGTCTGATGACACAGCTAAGCCAGCTGCTGACTAGCAATTACTGAGAGGCACAGTCCACACCTTTCCCCTCCCTCTGCCTCCACCTCTTCTGTTTCCTTCAGTTTCTTCCCAGCTTGGTGCTGGCAGTAATGAATTAATGATCCTGAAATAAAGTAGTTAAGGAGAAAAACGCAGTTTGGGGGTTTGGTTTTGGGTAGGACTGGGGTGTAGGCAGTTGCCCATTGGACTCTCTATTGCAGATATTTATTGTCTGAGGAAAGCAGTAAAGATCTTTATCCTACAATCTTTCTCTTTTGGTGACAGATAACCATTAAATTGCTTTTAATTACCATCAGAAAGCACCTCTCACTGTAGACTGTCTATTATCTGTACATTCAGAAGAAAGAAACAGATATATTCACAGTAAAACTGTATTTTAAAGGTACATCAGTGCTTTACCTTTTACTTGTAGTCAGTATGTTTTATATACACATGCATCATAAAAATGGTCTTCTCGCAGTCTTGCAAAGTTTCCAATGACAAAAAATGCAGCTATAAAGTGTTTCTCACCTGGATACTGTGAAAGCATATAGAAGTCTTAGAGGACTCTCCATAAATGTGATGTAGAGACCCTCTTAAGACATTAAATACAGGTATCCATACTTTTATTTTTTCTCTTTAAGGAGTCTCTTCTGCCAGCTGAAACTGAAGCTCCTGTTCGATTTCTTGCAGAATCAGTTCCACACAAACAACAGACCTAACAGCCCTGGCAAACATTGGTCCACCCTGATGGCTTCAGAGCTTGCACTTGGCATGGATAAAGATTTCAAACATTTTCTCAAAGATCAGTGCTTGCTCAGTTGACTTCTTTGCCTTAACTATCACTCCATTCATTATGCTGGGAGAAACTAGGGAAGCAAAAGGATGGTCTTTCCTCTTTTTAGTGAAAGTTTGTCAGACACCCACTGCATTTGAGACCAAGTATAAACCTGGATTAATTCAGTACAATATTCTATATGTAACTGTATGTGACAACACTGGACAAATCAGTTATTTCTAATTGCAGAGTAGTATGGTGTCCTTTTGGGGACTGTCAGAACCAATCAATAGAAAACAATGAATTACTGTTTGAAGTATCAGCCAAACATTTTATCTCTAACTAAAGTTTCCTGAGGCAAATAGGTGATTTTTATTTATATAACTTAGTGTTCAGATAAACACTTAAGAAAGCACATTATGAAATGAATTATCTAAAATGGTCTAAACAAGGTACTTAACAGGCTAACCCTTCCCTTTTGTAACTCCTCATTCAGTGTCAACATGTGTGTTTTGAACCTAGATTGATCAGTTTTGAGGTAGAGATCACATCAAACTTTTAAAGTTTACAATAACATGTTCTTTTACTGTATAATTACCAGATTTAAATAAAATGTGTTTGCAACAGTAAAGAATTTCAAGACAATGAAGGAAAGAAGGGAAAATAACACCCTATTATTTTTAAATCTAACTGATCAGATCCATCATTAGTTGAATAACAACATGACAGCTAATTCCTCAAAAAAAGAAACTGAGTATTTAAATCGTAAGAATGGAATCAGAAGTAAACAAATGAGAAACAAAGTCAATCAAGCATGTTGTAGTTTCTCAAAGCACCAGTAGCAGAGACAGAACACACCAACAGAACAGAACAGAACACAAAAGTTAGTTGGAAGAGTCATTATTAAATTTTACAAATATCCAAAATCTCTATCAACTGCCAAGCTCAAATGCTGCTTACTGCTTGGGCAACAGGTAATTAAAAGTTCTACTGACTGTACATTGAGATTGGTTTACCAAAATTGTCCAATTATACAAAGAATATTCATTCCAGGAACAATTTTTTTTTCTGACTGCAATTTGAATAATAACCTTAGACTTAATTATTGGAATGAGTACCAGCATTAGCAATTTACAACTGGATCATGTTATCGCTCTGATGGTTGTTCCAGTGGGACCTCTCTGCACTTAGGTACACATCTAAATAAAACGGGATAGCTGAAGCTCAGCTGAAATGGATCATTCAAGTTGCAAGACAGCTATGTCAATAATGTTAGTTTTATGTTTCTCTAATTAATTTTGACTATTTGATTGCTGATTTAGGCTTTTTCAGGAATAGACTACGTTCATTTTTTGTCTGAGTTAGAGTTAGTGAGAACTGCTTTTGTAAAATGTAGAAGACCTAGTTCTACTTGTCCATACTGCATTTCTTATCCTTGGACAGAAATTAAAGATTCATATTAAAAATAAGTATGAAAATGCAATTATGAATTTTTTTGTACTTTATGCAAACTTTAAAAAAAAAAAACAAATTAACTTAATCTCTTGCTATATGTACGAAGTCTTTCTTCATTCACCACAGCTTGATAAACCATGTTTAAAAATAAAGCCTTCCCTAAGCAACTGAATACACAAAGTATAAACTATTTTTGCTTTATCATACTGGCTCAAATGCAATGTCAGCACTCTGTTTACCACTCATTAAGTAAATGCACACCAAAAATTCCGTACACATTTTTTCTCCATCAGCACTGCTTTAAAACTTGAAGTTATATTAAAAAGCTCTTTATACAGTGACTCATCTCCATAGCAATTACCTATAATGTACTCTTCACTTATTTCAGAGGGGTCAAGAGGGTATAAACTGGAATTGCCTTTGTAAACTGAGCTAGCATGAGCTGGTGACTCACTACACTGACTGGCGGTTTACCATCAGCCTGACTTTCTCATTCTGACTCCGGAGTGGTGAAACTTGCACAGAGGAGCCAGGTATTTGACGAAAAAGCCTCCCAAACAGTCACAAACATCCCCAAGTCATGATCTGATAACAGCACTGCATGACCTTAAACTGTAAACTACTCTGCAGCTTTAAAGCATTTTCAAGAACATTTTTCTACCCCTTTTAATGCATCATTGACAAAATATAAAAGACATATGGCAGCACAAACATTAGTTTTTATCTTCTTAGAGAAAAATCTGATATTCACTTGGGAAAACTTAATCATGTTTTCCTTGGAGGTGAACAATGCTGTGTGACATTAGAGGCGAAAAAGCCCAAGACATGGGCAGTTTTGGAAAGCATATTCCAGGATGCATACTGCACAACATATTAGCTTAAAAGAGATAATGAAAGAAGGCAATGCTTGGATAGTATATGAATACCTATGCCAGACTTCTGATCATTTCTGTTACAATGGTAGAAGCCTTAAAAGGTCTGTGAAAAACTGGACCTTTGAAGCATAGGTAACTTGAGGGAGGCAGATTCAGTGAAACATTAGTTTTATGTTTATATTAAGGCATGTGTTACTTTTATATAAATGTGAGATACATTTTCCTTAACATTCAGGCAAAAGACTCTTTTATAAAGAATAAACAAATAAATGGCATTATCTCTAATGAAAAGGCTATGCAAGAGCTCTATAAAATCATCCAAATGAACCACTTGTGAATAGTAGGATCCAAGAGCACATAAGATTTTTCTGAATACAACATCAAAAATAAATTAAATTCTGCTCAGCATCAAACTTCAGGATCTCAGAGGATCTGCATGCCACAAAGACCGACTTTCAAAAACTCAGCATCAGTCATTAAGAATGTGATTTTAATGCTATAGATCTTTAATTGAAAATACGTGCTTAGGAACTCTGTCTTTTCACCTGCTACCGATTGGACAGAATTCAGTTTATTTTTTAATAAACTCTCTCAATCTTTGGTTCTCAGCATGGCCCTTTGGGCAGTATTGACATGATTGATGAGGCAACCCATCACCAAGCAGAGGGCTGAATCAAACCTTGTTTCTACCAAAGACCCCCTTGCATTCAACCTTGCCCTGTCTCACTCTGTCAGGTTAAATGTGCTAAAGTCACCTCCAAGCCACAGCTCAGATGATTAACTCTGTGTTACCAACTCCTTGAAACTAACGAGCAACTCAACTGGCTGCAAGAACTGATAAAAATTATTGTTGTCTCTAGCTATAAAAAGAAGGAACAAATCCTAAGAAAAACAGGTTGTTTTCAATATGCATGAGTCCGATGAATCTGGAAAATGCACCTTTTATGCCAGTTGGTCAAAGATGCATATATCAGTGTGAGTTAGAGGTTTTTATCTTGCAGTTCTACAGTGAGGTCAGGTTTGTTCTGTTAGTGTGTTTAATTGTAACTGTAGTACTGGGATACCAGCACACTTACAGGCCCATTTATACCACCATTTACACTATTTACAGGCCCCTGGGAATAGCATTGCCTTCTCCTAGCCTCTGCTATGTTGTGTCTGCAGCCAGTCTTGAAAAAATAAATTAAAAGCCCACCAAAAACAAAACAAGAAGGAAGACACCAAGCAACTCATTAGCGCATGTCAGAGACAACTCACTATGCACTGATAAAAATCTGCTTGGATGACAGATGTTAAACGGAAAACAAAGTCATTAATTAAGAAACCCTAGAAATAGCCTGTGCCACTCTTAATAGGTTTATATCCACTTAAGAACGTAAAGCTTATAAAAAAATTTGCTTTTTCTTCCCTTATT